TATATATATATATATATATATATATATATATATATATATATATATAAGATTATTTCTATACTCCCTCGGTCCCGCAAAAAAGTTCTTCTTTCTTTTTTCATCCGTCCCAAAAATATTTCTTTTTTTCTTTTAAAAAGTCACTTTTACCTCTACTAATTCTTAACCTACATATCACATCGTACTTTTTCTCTATTAATCTATTCATCTCATTTTACTTTATCCATCACATCAAAGGACATTTTTGGAAAGTCAATATCAAAATACACTCTCCTTAAATCCTCAAAAAGTCAAAACGGGAACTTTTTTGCGGGACGAATGAAGTACTATTCCCTATTTATTTTAGTTTATTACCTTCTCAAAAAATGATTATATAAATTTAATTATGAATTAAATACTTTGCTTCAAAAATTTTATCTTTTTACATTATTTATTTTAATATTACGTATATTTTCAACAAAGTAAATAGAATAATGTTGGTTTAATCGAAGGGTGACAAGTGACATTTTGCCACATCTCTAATAATGTATCATTATTTAATTAACCAATTTTTTATTATAATATTTTATTTACGAAAACCATTTCATTAGTAATTCATTTAATGACCATTACTTTTGTATAAGATTTTTTTTATTTTTAAATTAACGTACTAATATATATTCTACCAGTTTAAAACATATTTTATACTCCGTAACTATTAGAAAACTAAAATAAAAAATTATATTTATATATTTTCAAAATTTTAGAATGTATGCAAGTCTGTGCGAAGCACGAGATTAACACTAGTTAATGTGTATGTTTAATTACATATATCTACTCATCTGAATGCCCTCGTCGAAGTGTCAGATCTTCTCATCACCATCATTATTGACGGCTTTGCCTTCTTCGTTGATGCTTAGTTTGCCAGTGCAATTTTAAAAAAAAAATCTTCATTTTCTGCAATTTTTAATCAAAACAGTGACGATGGGAGTATTTTTTTTTTCTTTATTTAGGATTGTGCGTGACGATGGTTCAGACGGAAGAAGAGTATTACTACCTCCGTCCCGCTATATTCGTCCACTTTTGGCTTTTGGAACTGTTCATCTAAGCATTTTGACTCATCAAATTCTCTCGATATGTAAGCCTAAATATAGTCATGTGTGATCTTGTTTGATTTGTCTTAACATATAGATTATTAATATATAATTTCTATTATTTTTTAATATACAAATTACAAAATAAAATAGATTAAATAAGTGCATTGAATGGTGTGCAAAAATGAAAGTGGACAAATATGGTGGGAGTTGTAATGCATAAGGGTGATAGCATAAGGGTATGTCAGAGGTCTATTACCACATACAGTAAAAATACTTTGAGTTGTGATGTAAATTAATTAATTCTCCCTCCGTTCTCAAAAAGACTTCTTCTTTCATTTTTTCCACTTCCAACAAAATACTTCTACTTTCTACTCCCTCCGTCTACAAATAAATTTTACATTGCGCATTACGATGTTTGACTGAAGTTATTTTCAAATCATTTTATATGAAAAATGGTGTTGAATTGAAAAATAAAAATTACATATAAAAAAAATATATCAAAAGATCTACAAGACTAGAGGTGACATGACTATATTATCTTATCAAATGGGTGACGAAAATAGGCCACTAAAGTGAATAAAGTTTGACCCTGTGATTATGTGAATAGTGAACGTAAAGTTTATTTATGGATAGAGGGAGTATTAAAAAATCACTTTTATCCTTACTTTTTCATACTCTACTTATCACATCATACTTTTTCTTTAATAATCTATCCATCACATCTTACTTTACACATCACATCAAGGGAAAATTGGAAGTCAACTATAATTTAATACTTTCTTATTTTTACACATGGTCAAAATAGAAACTCTTTTTTAGAACGGAAGGAGTTTATATTTCTTTCGTCCCTAAAAATTCTTTTTGTATTGACTTTTAAATGATTTAGAGAGATTGCATTTGACTTCAAAAAAAAAGAGAGATTGCATTTTAATGCTGATTTTCTAAAAATGATTTTTTGAATGTGATATGTAGACGAATAATAAATAAATATGATGTGATGCGTAGGGTAAAAATTAATGGGATATAAAAGATTTTTTTAAATATAAAGCACGAAGCATAAAAACTTTTTGGGAAGGTAAAAAATCAAAAAAGAAAGGTTTATACGAAGGGAAAGAGGGAGAATTACAAGAGAGATATTAATGCTTTAAGCTTATGTTTGGATGAGGTGAAATTGGAAGGAAAGAGAAGGCTTGAGGGGGGCAAACAATTCCAAAAAAACTTTTGGATAAAGGGAGAAGGACCAAACTAGGAGTAAGAGTTATGCAATATTCTCAAATAGGAACGAAAACTTAAACTCCTCTAAATAGGAGTAATTAATTAATTTTTGTCCTCAATTCTCTCTTCTCACGCTCTCTCCTCCTTTTCGTTGTTTTTTTTGCTTGCATGCGTGTGTATTTACACACTTAAAAAAGAAAACCCCTTAAATAGGAGCAAAACATGGATCATATCCTCAAAAGAGGAGTTCAAACATAAACTCCCCTACATAGAAGTAATTAATTAAATATATGATTTGATTAACCCTCCTAGCCGCACAAACCAAGTTGGGCACACAACCCAAGTTGGACTCCCAATACTCATTAAACAAAACTATGGCAAAAAATAGAGTTACGTGACATTTACCCCTTTTTGACATTATGCATT